TACTGCGACATTGCAATGGAACTGAAATGATGGTTATACATATATACATACATATATATGTATGTATATATTGTTTTTGAGTGTGGGAGTTTGGGTACAAAATGGGTTAGGACAAAAGGGCATCTTCTTCTCTACAAAAAAGTACATGTTATAATCTTTGCAATGTGGAATTCTTGTTTATTATTTTACATTTCTTTTATTTTATTTTTTCTTTCATGCAAATGTATAGAACAGTGAAGAGCACTGACAGAGGAACAGGTAAATAAATTTGGATTTTCTTTCCCCCCCCCTCCAAAAATTAAAAGGTCCCATTATTATTGCATATTATTCTCTTTGTTTGTGCTTCCATTAATCATGATTTTTTGGGCGACAAAATAAATAAATTCAGAAGCATAAATCGTACTGAACATCATGGACCGAGAGACGGTCGCCTCGGGCCCCTGATTTGTAGAAGAAAAAAATTTTGGACCTCAAATAATAATGGTTATAAATAATTCAACAATTTGAATAATCATAACTATATTACTTACTCTACATTGTTACAAGAATTTGTTGAATTTTTTTTTTACGTGTGTTGCATTAATGTGAATGAAATGTCTTAGGATCAATTGTGATTAGTTAGATATTGACTTCTTCGATCTATGAAATTTTTATCTATTTCAATTTTTTTTTTCCAGCAATCTTTGCATTTTTTGATAATCCTAACTTGAAAGAGAGTTTCACCTAGTTGAAATTTACTATATTTTATTTAATTATATTGAAACAAATTCTTGTCCAGTCGTACTCGTTAATATGAACTCCATAAGCTTTTGGTTCATCTTAACTTTATCATTATTTTAGTCATATCTTCTCAAAAAATTTAACTGCTAATCAAAAAATTATCGTCCAGTCGAACTCCTTAGAATGGAATAACTTTTATATCAATTTATAATAATAATAATAATAATATTGCAGGTCAAGGGGAGATAGATGTTGGGCTGAAACTGCATATTACTCCAGAAATAGAAGATGATGAAAAGGCTGATAATAATCAAAGGTGAGTGTAATAATACTCTCTCTCTCTCTCTCTCTCTCTCTCTATTTGTTTTTGTCTTTTATTTTTCGGGAATTTTTGTCTGTTTTTATATGTCCTAATAGGTGCACTATATATTCTTGTATATAAGTACTGCACTATATATATATATTCTTCCATCATTTCCCAAAGAATATATCCACCTACACTATATATTGGCCTGGGACCTCTCTTTCTTTCTCTGTATGGTACCATATATTGTGGCCTATATCTTCTTATATACTGCCATCAATCATCATGATTTTTTTTTAATTTTTTAATTTTTTTAAATAAATAAAGTGGCATGATGATTATATATAAACTCCATTGATTCTAGATTTTGTCGAATCTTACAAATTTCTATGATAATCGAGAAGACAAATAGTATAACTATTATACTGTTACGGCTGAGTGGTACCAGTATCAGTACCGTTATCGGTGTTGTAAGGCCATTATAACATAATTGCTTCTAAGTTCAAACTTTGATTAATACTATTAATTTAGTAGTTTATATATCTTATTGATTGAGGTTATATAGATAATTAGTTGGGTTAATTATATAAATTGATCAGAGAATGTAGTTTCTTTGCATAAGTGTTTGTGTACTTAATAAATGGTGTGAGGATAATAATGGAATTTGAAAACATTGATACCATATATATAGGGTTTTGTTTGTTTGTTTGTTTAATGTCATTTGTATTTTACCTATAAAATCTTGAAACAAAAATAAAATAAAATTACACCTCACATCAATTAGATGTTTCATAGTACGAATCTCAAGAAAAAAGAAAGAAGAAAGTCAAAGAGAAGGTTCAAATCTCAATATAATGTTGTAATAATGCCAGCTTAGGGTGACATTTGGTGCAATTTTAGGGGTCACATAATAAAGAATAAATTACGTCTACTACCTCGTTCGTAAGATTAAATTACGAAAAGAATCTCTTATGTTTGAGAAATTACAATCACCCGTAAACTATGTATTGTCTTAAACATCTATTATTACGGTGTCAAACTTACCAGTGAACAAGGGGTTTCTTGTAAAAAAATACATAGTTGTGAGGGATAGTTGTAATTACCCAAACAAGAGGGTCTTTTTTTTAATTTGACGTTACCTCGAGGGTGGCAAAAATAATTGTCCCATAATAAATATTGTTTGAAAAAATGCTTTGCTGGACTTGTTGACTTCATTCCTGGACGGCTGAATTGCTAGAATCTAAACAAGAGTAAAAAGTCAGATGTAATGTAAAAATTAAATAAAAATATACAAATAGATATATGAAAAGATATAATATAATAAATATAATAATCTTGTAAACAAGAAAGAAAATAAAACTATATAGATTGTCACTCACAATCTTACAATTTTGCATTTTATTAGCTTGTATAATAATTGCTTGTGAATTATTATTATTATTTTTAAATTTTGAATCTTATGAACAAGCAGGGCTCAATGGAAATCATCATCATCATCATATCCAGACAACCTTGTACCAAGTCCTTCATGCCAGCAAGATAATTCCACTTCGACTAATTCCCGAGCAGGGTTCGATTTAATCACGGTATAATACATATATATGCACGTTTTAATTACCAAACGATTATATCGATTATTAAATAATTAGTATAATATAATTAACAAAAAAAAATCGATCGGTGCGATTCGTGTAGGTAAATGAAGCTGAGGTGGCGGACGAGAAAATGCGATTTTCAGACAAGGAGAAGTTAGATAGTAGTTTGAGTAGATTGTCTTCTGGTTCTTCTGATGTGTTGCTTGATCTAGAATTTAGCCTAGGAAGGCCAAGCTGGCAAATTGAACCCTCTAATTCCTCCCTTCTTAGATGTTAATTAATCCTTTTTTTTTTAATGACAGACTAATTTATTAATGATTATGTCTAATTATGCTAATTAAGCTAGTGAGGAAAATCTGTGTTTTTGGGAATTCTTTTCAATTTTGTTTATGATCTTAACAGCAAAAAATCATGAAATTATTTGCAGAGCTTAACCATGGTTATATATGGAGGCAACCTGCGATTCGGAGAATATGACGTTCTTGAAAAATTTATACATGCTCGTGTATAAATTGACGAAGCTTCAAAAAACTCAAAAATCAATGAAAATTGAGACAAGAGATGAAGAGAAAGGCCATAGTTGCGAACGTGACGAATCACAACAACAAAAAACACAAGGTTCAACGTGCGCAATAAAAAAAATCATAGAAACAAATTTGACTATCAAATTGGACATAATTAACATAAAAATATATAGATTTCGACAAGAGGAATCCAACGATGTGTATTTAACCCCTCAAATTCCGACTGCCGGAAAATAAGTTACCTTTCAAAAAGAACCACCATCCTCGAAATACACATGCATGCCCGGTAAAACGACCAAATAATCAGATCCATAGCTCCAAATCATACAAAATCACTATCAAAAGAAATAGCTCGACTACAGGAACCCAGACAATTATACCATTAAATTAAACGCCGGAAAGAACATTACAGCTCTAAGAAGCACCATTATCGGCTGGAAAACTACGGGACGGAAATTCACATCTAAGAAAGAAAGAAAGAAAAAAACGATATAAAGACGACGATTGTGATTGGCTAAAGTTTAAATCTAATTTTTGCAATTTGAAACTTTAAGTAATGTTGTTTAGTTTTGAAATGTGGGAAGCTTGAATGACTTATTAAGTTTCTCAAAAATATTAAAATATCTTTTTTTTAGTAAATAGATTCAACAATTGCTGTAAATTTTGTTTTTTGAAATTAAAATATTTATTATGCATAATTCTTGCTTTATTAAAATAATATTTTGTTTTTATCATTATTATATATGCATTTGAAAAAAAAAAATGGAGCCGTTGCCTTGCCTCTGAAGTCTGAACCAAGTCCACATACAATATATGGTTTTGCCAGGGCTTCAAACCCTAATTCCCAACAATTCCGACTAGTCGGTCCTCCGGCGAAGTGATGAACGGAGTGAAGAATCCCGGCGTTTCTCACCAAAGAGGAGCCTCAAAAGCTCACGAAGACCATCAACTCCCTCTACCGAAACCCACACGGAGTGAACAGAAGAATGACAAGGATGGAATCGAGAAGAAGAAGAAGAAGAAGAAGGAGGAACATGCTTATGATTCTTATGATACCTTTGAGATGAGGGTCGATCGCCACTGGTCCCGCAAGGTGTTCGACGAAATGACCGAGAGAGACCGGAGAATTTTCAGGGCGTATTTCAGCATTTCTTACAAAGGCTGGAGAGGCGCTATTTAGTTCTCAATCAGTGTAGTTGTGTCGTTCTTGATGAAGCTGATCGCATGATTGATTTGGGTTTCGAACAACAAGTTGTTGGTGTACAAGACGCGATTCCGTCGAGCAACATGAAATCAGAGGATGAAGATGAAGAGCTTAATTAAAAAAGGGCTATACAGAACCACTTGTATGTTCAGTGCTACGATGCCGCCTTCTGTTGAGCGGCTGGCGAAAAAGTACTTGAAAAGTCCAGCTGTCGTAAACATCGGCACTGCAGGAAGGCAAACTGAACTCATTACCCAACGTGTTACTATGGTTAGGGAGAATGATAAGATGTATAGATTGAAGAAATTGTTGGATGATCTTGGCAATGATAAGACAGCTATTGTCTTTGTCAACACAAAATATGTTGTTGATAGTTTTTTTTAAGGTTTTGCGGAGAGAGGATTATCGAGTGACGATATTTCATGGTGGGAAGTCACAAGAATCTCGAGAGGGGAGCCACGAAGGTTTTAAGGCTAGGAAGTATAATGTGTTGGTTGCAACCGATGTGTCTGGACGTGGTAGTGATATAGCTGATGTGGCGCATGTCGTTGAGGTACGGAAAAAACGTGTGTTTATTTTTAATATATATTTCTGGTGATTTTTTAAAGATATTTGAATTCTGTAAATTGGAATGTTTTAAGAATTTTCAAGTTATAGAAGGATTGCAATTTGACTATTTTACTATTTATGGTGTTTTTTCGTATTTTTATAGTTTAATAATAATAATTATTATAATTTTCAGTTTTAGTAGTATCTTACAGGCGAGCGCATATACACAATCTGACAATAAACTAGATAAATGTGATTGTAAACTTACGAAAAGTAATATCTTTGTAAGAAAATATGATAGCAAACGTATACAAAATTATATGTTCCAGCAGTGGCATTGCAATGGAACTATAACAGAGGTTTCCGTGGCAGCGTATGCAACCGTTGTCTCGAGCCTTGCTCCTGTGTGTCGGAAATTTCATTTTGTTGGTTAAAAATGACGTCAGGAAAGTGATTTTTTTCCAGATATATTTCTAGAAACAGTTTTATTGAATGTTCTCCCCTTGGTATTATTTGGTTGATATTAAATCCTTAGCTTTTCTATTTCCACAGATTCGATAGTGAAGGTTGGTGATTGAGATCAGGCTTGTTAAGTATCTTTCTTATTAAACGTATCTTCGTTATCATATACATGCATTTTCTTTCCCACCTTGTCTTGTCATACAAGTTGCAAATCAACGTGGGGTCCCCGTTCAAAGAAATATTTGTTTAAATTTGTCCACATTTGCGTTATTAATTGTTCATACAAGTTGGTCCATTTTTAACTCTTGTCCGTGTCCACAATTTTGTTTTCGTATCTACTCATTTATTAGCATTGATCTTGGCTAGTTGTTTCACTCATTGATTTCGTTTTCTGACAATCAAGTTGCTTGAGATAGTCACTAGTTCATTCCATAATAAGCAATATTCGATACAACCGTATTTAGTTCATCAGAAATGGACACGATTATTTGGCTTCTTGTATTAGTTACTTTACCAACGCTTTTAACCGTCAGTTTTTATTACCTTGTAGTAGTAACCAAACGAGGAACAAGAATCAAGAAAAACTTAACCCCAGAAGCTGAAGGGGGTTGGCCGATAATCGGACACCTGTCTTTACTTTCAGGGCCCGAGCTTCCTCACATCGTACTATCAAACCTCGCAGACAAATAGGTGTACACGGAGCACTGATAGTGAGCAGTTGCGAAATAGCAAAAGAATGCTTCACCACAAACGACCTAATCTTTTGCAACCGCCCAGAAACCGCTGCAATTCAGCACATGGGCTACAATTTCGCCATGTTCGGTTTCAGCCCGTACGGGCCCTACTGGCGCGAGCTTCGCAAAATCTCCATGCTTACACTTCTGTCGAACAACCGAGTTGCAAAGCTCGGAAATCTATACGAAACGGAGGTGAGTGCAATGATGATCGTTGTACCTTTACGGAGAAAAGTTGCCGTTGGATATGAAGAATTTTTTCGGGGATCTGACGCTCGGTTTGATTGTGAGAATAGTTGCCGGTGATGTGGAGATGAAGAAGATGGACGGAGCGGCGGGGAGTAGTGACAGGTGGCGGGGGGCGATAAACGAGTTTTTCAGAATGATGGGGGTTGTTACAGTACCCGATGTGCTTCCGTTTCTTAAACGGTTTGACGGTTACTTTGGCGCAACTAATTATTACAGGGCGTTTAAAAGACGGCGAAAGATATGGATGGTATACTACAAGAGTGGCTAGACCACCATAAGAAACACGAGGGAAGTATTAGTTGTGAAGAGAATAAAGGACTTATGAGGGAGATGCTGGTTTACGCCGATACGATTGCTAACGATTTCCCTGCGTACGATGCTGATACGATTAACAAAGCAACTTGCCAGGTATTTTGGTTTTTTTTTTTTTAAATGTAGGTTTATATGGTTTCATTTTTGTTTGGATTTCCTGATACCATGATGTTGAGATAATTTTCTTAGAATATGTTTGGTTTAGTATATCTTTTGGATTTTGTTAAATTGATGAAAATTTGTGAGAGAAGTAATAATTTAATGGAATATATGCAATTATTGAGATCTATTGAAAATGATATTTTTTTTGTCTGCTTTGAATTATATTAATTAGAATATGTTGTTTGGTTGAAATTAATAGTGGTGTGGTCCATTTTGGATATTTAGTTTGAATGTAGTATTTTATTAAACTAATCAGTGAGTTCATTGCAATAATCTTTTTGAATAATATATCAAGTTACAAATATCTCATTAAAATTTGAAAAAATGTAACAATACATTAAACCTTCTTTAACAAAGATTGTGTATGTATATATAATATAATCTTGTGCAGACAATGGTTTTAGGAGCAACAAATACAACGACCGTCACCCTCACGTGGGATCTATCTTTACGTCATGACGAGGGCCCGCCAAGAACTAGACCGAGGAAGACAAGTGAAAGTAACCGACACCGAAAACCTAGTCTACATCAAAGCCATAATCAAAGAAACCCTCCGACTCTACGCACCACGCGAGTCGGTTACCACGTGCCAGCTGGCACACGGCTCATCGTCAACGTGTGGAAGCTCCATCGGTTCCACTGGAATTCAAGCCGGAGAGGTTTCTTACGAGCCGTTATAAAGAGGTCGATATTTGAGGACACCACTTTGAATTGCTTCCGTTTGGCGGCGGCAGGATCGGAGGGTATGCCCCGGGATTTCTTCCGCGCTTCAGGTGACGGAATATTCCCTTGCTAGTTTGTTGAATGGTTTCGATATTGAAACGGTGCCGTTTGGTGAGGCCGTTGATATGACCGGGAGTTTGAGTGCGACTAATATGAAAGCCACTCCACTTGAAGTTGTTCTTACCCCCACGATTGTCTCCTCACCTTTCTTATTTGATTTTTCTTCATTTCCATGTCTTGTTGTTACATCAATACGTGGGGTCCCGTTGAAAAAATCGCCATTGCTTTTTTGTCCGCATTTGCATTATTAGTTGTTCAGACACCTTGGTCCATTTTCAGTTACTTTCTACTTCAACCTTATATATCATTGATCTTGGCCAATTGTTTCACTCACTCGTTTCGTTTTCCGGACAATAATCAAACTTTTCGAGGCAATCACTAGTTCATTCTATAATAAGCACTAGTTTATATATCAAGCCATGGAAATGGGACCGACTATTTCGCTTCCTGCGTTGGTTACTATATCGATAATTTTAACCGTTAGTTTATGTTTCCTTGTAATAACCATACGAGGAAGAAGAATCAAGAAAAAACTACCCCCAGAAGCTGAAGGTGGTTGGCCTATAATCGGACACCTGTCCTTGCTTTCAGGGCCCGAGCTCCCTCACATCGTACTATCAAATCTCGCAGACAAATACGGCCCGATTTTCACTATCCGGTTAGGCGTACACGGAGCCCTGATAGTGAGCAGCTGGGAAATAGCAAAAGAATGCTTCACCACAAACGACCTAATCTTCTGCAACCGCCCGCAAACCGCTGCAATTCAGCACATGTGCTACAATTTCGCCATGTTTGGATTCAGCGACTACGGGCCCTACTGGCGGGAGCTTCGCAAGATTTCCATGCATACTCTTCTTTCGAACAGAAAAGTCGCAAAGCTCGGAAATTTGTACGAAACGGAGGTTACTGCCATGATGAGGTCGTTGTACCTTTATGGAGAAAAGGTGCCGTTGGATATGAAGAAATTCTTTGGGGAAATGACGCTCGGTTTGATTGTGAGGATAGTAGCGGGCGATGTGGAGAAGAATAAGATGGATGGATTGGGGGTGGGGAGTAGTGACAGGTGGCGGGGGGCGATCAACGAGTTTTTTCGGATGATGGGGGTTGTTACGGTACCTGACGTGCTTCCGTTTCTCAAGCGGTTTGATGGTTTCTTTGGTGGGACGGATTATTACAGGGCGTTTAAGAAAACTGCGAACGAGATGGATTGTATGTTACAAGTGTGGCTAGACCGATGTAAGAAAAACAAGGGCAATAGTTGTGATGATGATTTTGAAGAGAATAAAGGGTTTATGTCTGAGATGATGGTTGCTTCTGATCGGCTTGCGCTCGAATTTCCTGCCTATGATGCTGATACGATAAATAAAGCGATTTGCCAGGTAATATATATGGTTTTGTTTGCAACTTTTTCATTGGCTTTTTTTTTTTTCTTAATGATATTTCTTGGATAAAAGTACTAAATTAATGGATGAGATGCAATTACTGAGACCTGTTGAAAATGAGATTTTTCTGAACAATTAGATATAATTGATAGCATTGGGGGTGTATTTTTTAATAATTGTAGATGATGTTGTTTGAAACATGAGAAAGATAATAAATATTCTTTAATCACATTATGTATGTCTATATTACATCCTCGTTTGCAGACAATGGTTTTAGGATCAACCGATACGACGACCGCCACCCTCACATGGGCTCTATCGTTGCTCCTCAACAATCGCCACGTCATCACAAGGGCCCGCCAAGAACTAGACCTCCACGTCGGACGAGAAAGGCAAGTGAGGGTATCCGACACCGAAAACCTAGTATACATCAAATCCATAATCAAAGAAACACTCCGACTCTGCCCACCCACGGCACTCCCGGCCCCACGCGAGTCGGTCGAGGACTGCACGGTGGCCGGGTACCACGTGATAGCTGGCACACGACTCATCGTGAATATATGGAAGCTCCACCGGGACCCGCGTGTTTGGCCCGAACCGCTTGAGTTCAAGCCCGAGAGGTTTCTTACGAGCCATAAAGAGGTCGATGTTCGAGGCAACCACTTTGAGCTGCTCCCGTTTGGCGGAGGGAGAAGGGTATGCCCTGGAATTGCGTTAGCTCTACAAATGTCGGAATACGCACTTGCTAGTTTATTGCATGGTTTCGATATTGAAACGGTGCCGTTTGGTGAGGCTGTTGATATGACTGGGAGTTTTGGTGCTACTAATGTGAAAGTCACTCCACTTCAAGTTGCTCTTACACCAAGATTGTCTCCTCACCTTTATGCTTGATCTATTTTTATTAGGAGCAATGGTTTTCAATTTGCTTAAGTATCATTTTGTTTGTTGTGTAATATTGTGTTGATTGACTTTTCTTTTCTTTTTTGATATTTTAAATATAAAATAAATATGATATTTCTAAATAAGTAAAGTTGGGGCATGTATTTATCATGGATCGTGACATATTATAATTCAATTCAAAGAATTGTTATAACTTGTAACCATCAATAGATAAAAGGAGGAAAAAATTGTTTTGACAACAACGATGACACCGAAGAAAATGCTTCGATGCATGGAGCGTTGAATTACTGATTTTGTAGAACTTATATACCTGGTGAAATATATAATATAGCTACAGATTATTGATTTACATATAATAACGCGCACACTAATGTGTACGTGGTTATTGACTTATTTCTATGATAGACCTGGTGTAGATTACACTGGGTGATTTTTTACCGTTGATCTACACACACCAATATGGATGTGTATATTGTTTATCTGAATGGTAAATACCTATCTGGTGTATTTCACCCGGTATAGCATAGAATAGACTTGTATATTGTTCTTAGTAGTTAATTTTTTATGTAGATCTATAGTGCAAAGCCACATCATGTATTTCACCAGATGTCGGATCTTTATTTATACACATCAAACTACTCAATGATTCAATAAAGTTTGACTATTCGAACATCATCCGGTCTCGACTCATCTCTTTGTTCAATAAATAATAAAGGGCAAATTACGGCCACCTACCTTTATGGTCAAATTATGAAATCCCCCTTTTGTTTGGATAATTACAGTCACCCCCTCAACTATGTATTATCTTACGAAAAAATCCATACAGATGTAAGGGATGTTAAATCCGTAAAATCGAACCGAAATTTCGGTACGCCAACATTTCATATCGTTTACCGAACAGAATATATGATTTGGTTTGGTAAATAACCGAATTACATAAATTTTATATAAAAATATTTAAAAGGAGGGGGTAACTGTAATTACCTAAATGAAAGAAATTTTTTTTTTTTTTAGTCTCATGGTGGCCGTAATTTGCTCAATAACAAAAGCTATATTCCTAAAAAAGAAAAAAAGATTAATTATTTATTTAATAATAATTAAAGCCCAATCAATATTTACAGCCTAAATCCAGTTACCGTCGACTCTCACCTCTGAGCTCTGCAACTTCTCCATTGCCAAAATTCTCTCTTCTTTCTCTCTCTCTCCCTCTCTCTCACACACACACTTCTCTCTCTTTCACACAGAAACACATTGAGTAAATATGACATTATTTCACTTTTTCAACTGCGCGATTCTGACTTTTGGCCCTCACGCCGTCTACTACTCAGCTACGCCGTTGTAAGTTTTTTACTATAATTTTCCCCCCCCAAATCTCTACAACGTGATATTTAATAATTTCATCAGATCTCCTAGTGAATGACAAGGCCGCCATTGTTACTGCTGTTGAAGCTGAATTTCAACTTTTCATTTTTTTTCTGTCAATTTTGGGCAATGATAGACGTATGTATGTATTTGCGGAAAATTAAACCCATTGAATTTATCTGAGATGAATGTTGGATTACCTAATTTCTCATCAATCTAGGTAAATTCGTTGTTTTTTAGGTTGCGCTTTCAATTGCAGCAATTTGTGTATTTCAGTTTTCAATTAAATAAACAATAGTTTTTTTTTTTTTTTTTTTGTTGGTTTGGTAGATAGTAAATATGAATTGTAAATGTGAAATTGCATCTGTATTGACTATTGAGTGTTGACTAGTTTTATTCCAACAGATCTGAATATGATACAATCGGCACTTCGATTAGAACAGGTGTCGTTTATCTCGTAACGGCGTTGGTGAAGGTTGGTGGTTGATTGAATGGTTTGTTTTCTTCATTGCTATGAAATCATAATACCCAGACGCATTTTGTTTCCGCAGCTTGTTTGTCTTGCAACGTTTCTTAAGGTATCTGAAAGCGACACTTTCGATCCATATCAGGTAATCTCTCTAGTTTACGCATTTTGACTTGTTGGACTTATGATTGTTTTTCTAATTTTGGCATATTTATTTATTCATCAGATATATTTTATTGGATCATGAATAATTTTGAATTGCTGTTGTTCCATTCTCTTTTTATATCAGGAATTGTTGAAAGCGTTGATTGGGTTCGTAGATGTTGCCGGGATTTATTTCGCCTTGACACAATTGACTCACAGGAATATCTCTCAAAATCACAAATTCCAAGCGGTTGGGCTCGGTGAGTGTAATTCCTCTATTCTTTTTGTATCTTTTCTTCTGAGTTCACTGCTCGAGATTTTGTTGATTTAGTGCGACAACTTACGTTTTAACATGGACAAATAATGTTACATTTTAGTTATTACTAATGCTGGAGAAAAGAGTGGTTCATAATTGGAATAATTATTTTCTCTTGCTTGTGCTATTTTCTTTCTTTAGTTACTATCTGATGTTTCCATATCGTAATTATGGTATAAAAATATTAACCCGCGACGTAACGATTACAGAGTCCACCAAGTATTTTTAACGTGTCAATCAATCTATAAATAAGACCATTTATCGCTTCAATATGCAAGCTAATATCTATTGATGATTCTCAATGTTCGTTTTTTATTAGGCACTTGACAGCAGCTTGAAAAAAATTAAAATGAGGGGATAAAATCAGAATGACACTTATATAATGCTCGTTTTATTTTAACCTACTTCCAATGGCTATCTATATATGCATTTGCTTCCTTTCGGAATATTTAAGTTCCGATTCTCAATTTTGGCAGGTTGGGCTTTTGCCGATGCTGTCCTGCATAGGCTGGCACCCCTTTGGGTAGGTGCTAGAGGTTTAGAATTCACATGGGACTACATCTTGCAGGGTCTCGAAGCAAATGCCAATTTGGTACGGAATTTCTTCTATCGTATTGGTTATATTACTAGTTTTGTTCGTTTTTTTAATCCAGTTAAAAACTCTTGAATTCTACTCTATTGTTTACTTATTTTCGGAAGGTGTATGTATAATTATGTCTCGTCAACCGTTTCAGGTGTTGAGTATATCACTTGCTTCGTTGAGCTCTTTGATGTGGCTTAGGAAAAACAAGCCCAAAACCTTGATTCCGATTATATACGCTTGTGCAGGGATTTTGGCAACAATGCCATCTATCACAAGGTGTGATTTCTCTCTGCCTACACTTCCATCTTACATTATCGTTTATCAATGTATTACGACGATTTATCTGTTAATATAATGCACGCACTTATTTATGCCGTTTGTGTGTTGTTTGGAGATTCTTGCAGCTATATGAGACGGGGATTGGAATGGCAATTCCCAAAAGTAGTAGGATTCGAGCTTTTCACTTCGTTGGCGATGGCTTTCGTCAGCTGGCAGCTATTTTCTGCTTGTCAAAGACCGTCTAACTGAGACAAGACCCAGAAATTAAACATATGTTTTTTTTTACGGAAGAAGCAAATTTCTATGAATAGCTTTTTATCAGAAGTATTATCTTTGTATTTACATTTTTTTTGGACAGTAAAATTAACTGTATTACACTGTTGATTTCAGTCAATGGTAAAATAGCTTCTAGTAATCTTAGTAAAATAGCCTCTGTTTGCCCACACATAAGCGATATTTGTACTTTTTTTCGTCTTCTTCCGTAAACTTCGACTGCAATTGCCCACACATAAGCGATATTTGTACTTTCTTTCGTCTTCTTCCGTAAACTTCGACTGCAATTGCCCACACATAAGCGATATTTTGCAAAGAAATCGGAATTCTATTGTTCCTTTTCAAAGTATCCCTCATTTGCAACCTTGAATATGATAGGAAGTAAATCAAATTTGTTATATAAAAATGAAGTGTTAAATAAGTATTTAGAATTCCATGGTAGGAAAAAATACATATGTATAAAAGCTATGAAAACGGCATGCCCTAGAAACGGAGATACGGAGAGTTTGGGGGAAATATGTAAATATTGAAAATATAGAAGTATATTTATAAATATGATATATATAAACATATATAAGTTTTTATTCATATATAACTTTTTTTTGTCATACAAACATATTTAAAATATATTTTATTATCAATTTGTAATTGATCATTAAATCATGCAAATAATTAAGGAAACAACAAATATATTTAAAAAATTTGATATTCACACATGTCTCAAACTTTTTAGAAATTATAAAATGACCCATGAAGTGTCCGGCAGGTGTCCTCTGGGACACGAAACATGTCCGAGAAGTGGAAACGTTAAAAAATTGAAGTTTCCGTGCTACATCGATTGTTTAAGCGACTATATTGATTCATAAATTTGAAATGCTAATTGCAGCGGGACATTTACTGATCACATTGAGATTTTGTTCACTATTTCAAAACATTCCTATAAAATTCGAAATTCTCTCAACTTTCAATTTCTGAAATATGACTTGTACAAAAAATAAGTGTAAAACAGTAAAATAATTTCAAAAAGAAGGAATAATGCACTTCTTTCTTGACAAAACATTGGTTGTGCATTTCTAAAATATGGTTTGATAAGAGCTAGTAGATTTAGCAAATTATCCCACATCGTTAGAAGATACATCTTGGGATGAGTTTATTAATCCACTAATTGCATGATTAAGACACCGAGCCTAGTAACGTGGGCTTATAATCCAAGTGGAGGTATTAAGGTGATTGGACATTTGATTAGCCTAAGTGGCTGGACCTTTAATTGCTTAATCTGGACCGTCCATTCCAAGCTGGGAGTTGGGTCTCGAGGCTCGATCGAAGGGTCGGGTTTCGTTGCCTTTAGAGTGGAGGGCACCGCGTCAGGCTGGCTTCACAGAGCAGCGATAACCTCCCACTCTCGGCAGTGGAAGGATTGCGGTTCGGTGCAATTCGAGTCCGATAAAAGTCACTTGGGCTTGTCCAAATTGAACTTTCACCTTTTTTTTTTGTTTTTTTAACACATTTTTAAATTATGAGGTGAGTTGTTTTTTTTTTTTTTTTTTTTTTTTTTTTTTTTTTTTTTTTGTGACACATTTTTAAATTATGATTCGGTTGTTTGGTTCGTGAGGGTAGTCTTAGTCGGTGAGTAAGAGAGTGTTGAATCAAATGATACAAGTTCGAATCATCTATCCAATGTTTTTTACACAATACGTGGGGCCACTTGAAACTCGTGTGCCTTCTACGTCAAGATGAGTAAGTACAACAAAAATAAGAATTAAAATTTAATTTGATCCATAAATAATGGTATATGTCAATCACGGCCAACGGTCGTAGAGCATAAGTATAGGAGCATTGTCCCCGAACCCCCATAATCTTTTATGTCATCATTTTTAGAAAATACTATTTATATTTTTTTAGTACATTCAATTTCGAACACCCATTAATAAAAAAATGGTTTACCAAATCGGGGCCAAAGTTTTCAGTTGTTCTTTAAACCTCGTCTAGGACCCCGAATTCTCAAGAACGGATTTGCTAAGTTGTTGCAATGTTCTTGCACGATCAATCCTATACTTTTCCTCTACGACCGATGGCGGAGCCAGAATTTTATGCATGGTGGGTCAAAATAATGCACTAAAAGATTTATTGCAGGATCACTCCTAAGTTTCCAAAAAACAAAGGATATTATTTATGAAAAATGAAAAATTAATTGCAATTTTCGTTTCGAAATAATAAAAGAAAATCAAAATTTCGAAAACTGGAATGAAAAAGCTCTTGTTCCAAAATTGTAGTGGAATCTGAACATTCAATATTTATTTTATATTGTAAAATACATAATAATCTTGATGATATATAGATTTTATTTTTCAGAAAAAAAAAAATATTGGAAATTTGAAATTAATTCCATTGGAATTTGAAATGAAAAAGGTGATTTCATCCCACATCGAAAATGAAAACATCTTCTGACCAATATATTAATTATTTTCCCGCATATATTTATCGCCGAGCCTAGTCACGTGGGCTTGTAATCCGAGTGGAGGCAATAAGGGTGATTGGACGTTGAACCGGGCCGGTTGGCTGGACCTTTGATTGCGTAATCTGGACCGCCCATTCCAAGTGGTGAGCTGGGTCGTGAGTTTCAATCGAAGGGTTGAGATTCGCGGCCTTTAGAGTGGAGGGCACCGTGTCAGGCTGGCCTCACAGAGCAGCGATTACCTCCCGCTCTCTGCAGTGGAAGGATTACGGTTCGGTGCAATTTGGGCCCGATAAAGTCAATTGGGCTGGTTTAATTGGACTTTCACCTTTTTTTGTCCTATTTTTAACTTATTTGTTTTTGTTTAATACAATTTTACCCCAATGTCAATTATTTTAAATTTTATAACATAATAAAAATAAAAATCTAATAATTACTGGATTACATAAAATTCAAAATTAACTAAAATTAGATTATTGGACAAAAATTACAAAGCTATATATTGTATAATAATGAATGAAAATATATTTTAAGAAATTAATGAACTTAAATAATTTTAAATACTTAATATTTAAAATTATCGATATGAATATATTGATTAATTGGTCCAATAACAATTAGATGTTATTTATTAAATATGTGCTATTGAATTATAATATTTATAAATTTTAAAATATTGCATTTTTCCACATATATTTTTAGTTGTATAATTTAATTATTATTTTTAGTTATTCCTTTCAATAAAAGAGAAAAAAATTAAGGTATTAGAATTTAAAATACAAATTATATTGTGCTTGAGGGGTGTAAGTATTACATAGAGTATACTTTAGTGGTGTGAACTGTATTTAACCCTTTATTTTGTATGCATATCTAGTTGAATCATACAATGTATGTAATGTGCAATTAAATGCAGATAAATTAAGAATCTACAATTTTATTTTTATATGTGATTTCCAGTACACATTTTTCACTCAACCAATATAATAACTCATTTTCCCTACAATTGGAGGCCAAACCAAAACATTATTGAACTAAAACCAAATACGAAATGAGAATCATTTTATATAATTAATTATGACTATTTTTTTAGCAAAATCAAACGAAGCCTAAGATGATAATGAAAAAACGTGATATAAAATTCCAGATTATGATACGTGTTCAATTCCACATTCATTATATTTAGTCGTGAATTGGCAGCAAACAAATCCGAAAAAATAAAATCACGAAACGGAATATAATCCATAACGTCGAATCAATTACCAGCAGATGGATCGAAAGCTCAAATACATTTTCTAAGAGAATCTAAACAAAGGTTTGATTACACAACGAGCGAAAGCAAGTCGTAATACTCAGTCTAAATATTTTACATGAAAAAATAACAGCTGCAAAGAAGTCCGCAGAGCCGAAAAACAAATGACGAAGTTACAAAAGCCCATATAAACAGAATTACAGGAAACTAAAAAAGAATAAGAAAACGCTCTAATAGCTAACTAATACACTATACACAGTGCAATCAGTCTCGTCATCTTTGGGCAGAAGAGTGCGAAGATTTGATGCATACAGCAAAAAAAAAAAAAGAAAAAAAAAAAAACGACATCCGACAAATGTTTACAGTTCAACACTAACATCTAAAAACCATAAAGAGGTCGTCTTTATCGTTTATTTCACAACACATTTTCACTAGCTGGAAAGTTCACCTGCACACATTTTCACAACGCTAAATAAAGTCAAAAATATAATTTGATTTCGAAGGTATAATAAATCAATTGATTAAGAGATTAGTAAAAAAAAAAAAACAGTGCTCACCGTAGGTAGTAGTTAGGTTATGAATCGACTTTCTCTCTCTTTGAATTTCATGGCATGGGAAGATTCCTTGTTGTACCATTTTGATAGTTCAACCCTTTTTTCCCGATTCCACAAATGTGAACGCGCATTTCGCATTTACCGACGAGCTCAAAGATGCAAATATCTCCCATCTGAATGTCGTTGTCACGAACAAAAGCCATCCATCCACCACAGAAAGTGTGCAAAGCCTGCACCTTTGTAGTGGGGATAGAGTTTACGGTCCAGCACTTTCCGTTTAAATTACGGAGAAGAATCTCTGTTCTGCTGGCCGGCAGGTGTTCTACCGAGAACTGATAGGGAATTTTCTGGATCGTAAAATTCAATTTTTTTCATCAGTGAGCGGTTACAAGTTAAAATTTTTTTTTATAAGGTCACATTACATCTACAATCCCTTGAGGTTTTGATTTAGGTTAAAACTCCAACCCAAACTCAATAATTTACATTTTTACCCTCGACATAATATATTTTCTACGGTAAATTACATCACCCTACTTTTAGTTATATCTAATTATACCTAGACACCCTCAAGTTCAGGAATTTACAAAAAAAAAATTCTCACATTTACAAAGAAAAGGACCGCTAATTGGATCTCAATAGCAATGGAAGTAGATAAAGAAAAATGCAATGGCGAGTCATTTTGATGTATTAGATATCGAACAGCAAAACATTAGCTGTCACTGTTAGCAACTTTTTTATGCTTTTCTTTAGAAAAAGAATATTTTCGTTAAAATAAAAACATTATCTACTGGATTAGATTGTATTTTGGCTAAAACCAAACCGTAAGGAAGGTTTAAGTAACATTTTCAAGCACAAGGAGGTTTACGTGTAATTGGACCTAATTTCCTGAGAGATTGGTACAATTATCCAATAATGTAGAACCTTGATAAATTAATACTCGACAAATAAATAACCTCACTTAAATAATAATTTCTTCCGGTTCCCGACTCGGTAAAAACTTACTAAATTTTGTAATTCTATAGTTTAATATTTCGCTAAATTAATAGAATTTGACTGGTCAACTGTAATTTGATCAAGGGTAAAAGAGGCATTCTTCATAACAACGCTAGCTAGTGGATGGGGGATAAAGATATGCTTCAACAAAATACAGAAAAGAAGAATAAAACAAAAGAAAGCACATCGAACGGACTCACCAGAGTGAATGAACCACTGATGTTGAACTTCTTCATAACTCTTACAAAATGAGGAAAACTTGAAACAAAATACTGAGCAGCCATTTTCTCTTCCGGCACCGACTTCATCGACATACAACCTTTAGCGTGAGAGCCTTGTTTGTCGAGTGATCCAAATCTTTTATGAATCTCTGTTCAAATATTATGCACGAAAAAAAAAATCAAGTATCAATGACGGTTACTAATACATAAAAAATCCGGAAGATTTAAATTACCTGATTCCACAATGCAATTGGTCGATTGAGTGCAGAGAGGAGGTGCCTTAACACTGGTATTATCACTTTTCTTTTTCGATTTACGCCTCGACAATTTTTTCGATGTGGTACAACTATTGTCTCTCCCTCCATTAGCTGTTCCGCGGTTATGACCGTCTGTTCCTTCCTTTCCTACTCTAAGAATCCTCACATTGAATTCAACTTTGCGCACGAGCTCAAATATGCAGATATCTCCAATATCTATATTATTATCGCGAACAAAAGCCAACCAGCCTCCACAGAAAGTATGCGACGTTTGGACTTTTGTAGTGGGGATGGAATTCACAGTCCAGGTTTCTCCTTTTAAATTACGAAGCACAATCTTCAATTTGCACTTGGGGAGGTGTTCTGTTGCAAATTGATACGGTAGATTCTGCATACGAAAAAAAAAATTTGAAATGAGATAGTAAAAAGATAGAGTTCGCGTTAGAGAAGGAACAACAATGCTCAATTTGTCTGGTTTCTTACATTTCATACAGAGAAAAAACAAAACAATGCTCAAAATTTATGATTTTCGCTTGGATTAGGATTCTACTAGGTTTTAACAAGTATCATAAAAATCCTAGAATTTTAGGATTTTAATCGGGCTTTTAACCACCTTGACTAAAAGATGCAATTGCGGGACACAGTTGTCACCCAGTATTTTCATTTCATTACCTACTCTTTTATTCACAATGGGCATACTATTACTCTATACAAATAATATACTTCGACGATAAAATTAGAAATGAACTACTCACCAGAGTGTAAGAACCGCTTATGTTGAATTTTTTCATGACTTTTGTAAAGTTGGGGTAAGAAGATGTAAACGATCCGGCCATTCTTTCTGCCTCTGATGCAGACAATAATAGCATATCTAGCTTCGTGGTTTGATTCCCGATTGACGGATCTGCATCAAAAACCGCAATTAAAAAAGATAGTATCCAAAAGCCAAAAAAAATAAAAATACGGTAATTCAAGAAAGCAATATCATTACCTGTGTTTTCATGAGGAACTATCGTAAGAGGTACAGCAACAGTAACATTACTCTTCAAGTTACTACCACAATCAACCTGCTGCATCCAATTATGGTTTTGGTCAACCACGGTCAAATTGTTCTCATGAACATTCCGGAAGCTTCCGGATTGCGTCCTCATTCTTTTGGGAACACCCTCGATAATGCTATCAAGCAGAGCCGATCTTTCCCTACCTCGTTTTCTCACAACATTAACATCGTATTTACTTAAATCTTGGCTGCTTTCGACGGTAAATGCAGCTTCCTTCTCGCACATACTCTGGTCGAATATTTGCACCGTAAAATGCAACTCCCCATCGTATCTAAAAACCATAGCATCACCGTGCTCGAGAAAGTGGTCTCTAACAAAATCTGCCCATCCGTCATTTAGGAATAAACCGTTGTCCGTGTGAATCAAGTTAACGTACCAATCGTTCCCACTGGGGCCCACTAAAAGTGCGGTGCCAGGTGTTTTTCCTTCCAAATGCTTAACAAAGTTGTACGGAATATTCTGAAGGGGAAAAAAAGGAACTATATATATCAGTGCTACTCATTGATATTCACATACGGAACGATTGGAGTATGTAGTTTAAAGCACCGTGTATCTCCGCTATAAACTACTCATAAACACATTCACCTTCGAGCATCGACATTTATAGCAACAAAAAAAAAACACTTGACATGATTCATTAGTTTCCTAAACACGAAAACAAAAAAACGAATACAGATTTCAAACACTCGTAAATTTCATTCAGAAGCCATTGAAAAAACTTGAACTGCATTGAATCTAAACAACTTTTTTTCATTACATCAAAGGAACATTTCCATTAGCATATTTTAGAACTGATAATCGACTGAATCACTCGTAAATTTCATTCAGAAGCAATTGAAGAAACTTGAACTACATTGAATCTAAACAATTTTTTATTCATTAATCAAAGGAACATCTTCCATTAGCATATTTCAGAGCTGAAAATCGACTGAATAATTAGAGATGCAGAATAGCTAAGTACACACATCCATATTAATCAAATGCATTTAACGAATTGGAGGAGAGATTTACCAGTCTTTCAGAAGACAGAGACGAGTCGAACCCCAAAAGGAAGTGTGGTCTCCTCATATGCCACATCTCTCTCTCTCTCTCTCTCTCTCTAAAATCTCTCTCCGTCTCTCTCTAAAATCTCTCTCCGTCTCTCTCTCTCTAAAAATCTCTCTCCGTCTCTCTCTCTCTCTCTTTAAAATCTATCTCCGTCTCTCTCTCTCTCTCTAAAATCTCTCTCCGTCTCTCTTATCTCTTCTCAAATTGAGATTATCGAATTGAGTTCATGATCGATTAGGAAGGAGCGGAGAAAGCAGAGAAATCCATGACTGAGTGATTTGAGGAGGAAGGGTTTGAAGCGAAGGGGTCCCTTTTTTTTTTTTTTTTTTTTTCTGGCACAAAAATTGTAAATCTATGAAATTCGTTTGCGTGGGTTGCACCACGGCATACCCGGCGCGTGTCATAAGAACGGACTTCAGTTCGATAGGATCTTCCATTATTACTTCTTTTGTGTAATTATGCAAACACAAAAGATTAGGATTTTTCTTTTTTTCCTTTTTCTTTATTTTTTTGTATATTTTGTTTTTGTTCTTTTTCCTTTACCTATGAGGTTTTTTGTTTTCATAAGATATACATTATTGATTTTATTTAGCATATATACATAGATGAATTTCAAAATATATAATTTTTTTATGGACTTTCCAGTACGACTCGAATTATTTCAATCGAAGTTTGTACGGAAAAATTATGATTAAAATGAGTACAAACTACAGAATAGTCCACATAACCTAGAAAATTACGTTGAATTTGACACTATAATGGTGGACGTGTAAGAAGATTCATAGTTGAAGGAGTTGGTTGTAATTTCTCAAATATGAAGAGTTTTTTCGTAATTTGGTCTTACCTCAGGGGTGGCCGTAATTTACTTTATTTGTAAGGTAAATAGCATTAACCCCATCTGTGGTTTGAACTTTATGCACATGACCCTCTTGTACTTTCAATTTTGCACATGATCCCGTTGTAGTTTAATATAAACACACAACCTCCTTGTACTTTCAAAAACTCCATCTTCCTAATGAGTATGATTATTTATCTAATGGAATATCATAAGAGGGTTATGTGCTTAAATTAAAAGTACAAGAAAGTTGTGTGCACAAAGTTCAAACTAAATAAAAGTTATATAATAAAATTAAAAGTATAAAAGAGTTATGTGCACAAACATCGAAGCTAGGGGCTAAAAGCTATTTACCCTTATTTATAAGTTTAACAACGCAATTTTAAACGTCTAAATAATACTAAAATTTAAGAAAATAAAATAGTTTATTAAAACAATAAAAACAAAGAAGAGTGTCCCAGCCCACTTCTTCTCCCAAAGCCCACATCAAAAAATGACGTTAAATTTGGGCCAGTCCAGTTACTCATTTTAAGCAGATCATACTTTGAAATCTTAAAATAAAAAGATAAAATAAAATTACACATTATCTGAAATGTTTTTTTTCTATATTTTTTTAATTAAATGCTTAATAGATGTATACGGGAAGTTAGATGTTACACTCAATTATTTATATCGGATTGAATTGAACCGTAAATTTGATTAAATAACTATTCACTAAGCATACATATACATGGAGGTGTGTGTATGATTATGTGTAGATCTACTGGTTTGAATCTACCTAGTGTAAATAACCAAATGTAGCATCTAATTTTCCGCGTATAACTAAATAGTAGCTGCCATTTAAAAGCAAATCACTGATAATATGTGTAACACGGAAACTTCAAATTCTTAACGTTTCTGTATTTCAGACACATTTCGTGTCCAACACTCGAGGACACATACAGACCACCTTATGAGTAATTTTGCAATTCTAAAAAGCTAGACATACGTTTGAATAGTAAATTTCTAAATATTTTTGTTACTTCCCTAATTATTTACACGATTTAATGATCAGTTGCAAATTGATAGCTGATAGTAAAAATATATTTTGAATATATCGTATGAGAAAAAAAAAAAATTTATATATAAATAAAAATGTATATATGTTTATTGAGCATATTTATAAATATACCACTGTATTGTTTATATTTACACATTCCTCCAAGTTTTCGTAGCCATATATTGAGACATGTTGTTTTCCTGTTTCTGTTAATGCGCCTATATATACATTAGAATCTCGATAAATTAATAACATTTTCTTCACCGCCTCTTCCCACACACAAAAGGCAAAAAAGAAACAAAAGGAAAAAAAGAAAGAAATATGTCAATGGGATTACTGAATTAATGACATTAAATACCTTGAGATATTCCTCTGTAATAAAATCTGAAAAAACATAATGAACCCCATCCAAGAATAACTATTTTCTAACAACAATATAATATTTATATTCCATCACACAGCCTAATTTGAGTAAAACGACGTCACATTTGTCTTCTTCCCAACCCAACTGCTACTGTGCTTTTCTTTTTTTATCTTCATTCAGCGATTTAGCGATAGGGACTCTTTTCTCACATTCATTTTTGGCGTGTTTCCCTTCAGCATATATTAGAACCGTATCAAAGGGTATCAAAATTCTATATATATATATAAAGCACACTCAACAAACACCCAAATTAGAGTTAAACTGAAAAAAAAAATGGATACACTTCTGAATCTTCAAGCTTTGCCTATGGGTGCCGCCATTGGAGGCCCTGTTGCTCTTGGTGGTATTTCTCTGTTCTTCATCAGGCAATATGTTAAGGATCAAAAGAAGAAATCTTCCCCCTTTCCTCCTCCTCCAGGTAATCTCTCTCTCTCTCTCTCTCTCTCTCTCTCTCTCTCTCTCTCTCTCTCTCTCATCTGAATAAAGATCCAATTTTGTGTATCAAAACCTCATTGAGTTTCTCATGTTTTATTCTATGAACTGTGGCCATTTATTTGGTGAAGTAATTTATTATAATTATTTGTTACGGTAAATTACGGCCACCTTCATGAGATACGATGTAAAATTACGAAAAAACGACTTATGTTTGGGTAATTACAACCATCCCTCTTAATTATAAATTTTCTTACGCGTACACTTATGATGTAAATTCAATAGAATCTTCTGGATCCTGCATAATGTTCTCTAGTTTGTACTCGTTTTGTATAAAAATACAGTTTTTGATGCAACATAATTTGATATTTCAATCCAAAAGATACATTTTACGATCATCTTGTTTCAAAATGTGAAACTCGAATTGGGTAAAGTAAAACGGGTACAAACTGGATAATATTCTACATAATTTAGAAGATTCCACTAAATTTGACACCGCAAGGGTGGACGTATAAGAAGATTTTCATAGTTGAAAGGGTTGGATGTAATTACCTGAACATGAGGGAGTTTTTCGTAATTTTACCTTTCCTCAGGAAGGTGACCATAATTTACCCTTATTTATTGTGCCATAAATTAATTAAATTAAATGAATAATTAAGAAACTAAAAAAAGAAATTTGGATTTTTTTTGAGTGCAGAAGTACCAGGTTTACCAGTGATTGGAAACTTGCTGCAATTGAAAGAGAAGAAACCCCACAAAACCTTCACCAAATGGGCTGAAGAATATGGTCCCATTTATTCCATTAAAACTGGCTCCAGTAATATGGTTGTCCTCAATACTAATGATGTTGCCAAAGAGGTATTTATATATATTATTCTGTAATTTTCCGGAATAAAAAAAACGGATATTCGATTGTCTTTTTCTCGGATCTGTTGTAGTGAAATAATCCGGTAGTTATTGAACTTTTTAGGCAATGGTGACGAAGTACTCGTCTATGTCGACACGGAAGCTGTCGAACGCTTTGAAGATACTCACTTCCGATAAGAGTATGGTTGCTATGAGTGATTACAACGAGTTTTACAAGACGGCGAAAAGAAATTTACTTACGAGTACTCTTGGAACTAATGCTCAGGTTTTGTTCTATGCTAAAATGTTTCTTAATTTCTTCTTAGTTAGATGAGATTAGTGCTAATCCCGTTTGCTAATTGCAGAAACGCCACCGCGTTCATAGGGATACCATGATGAATAACATATGCGAACAATTTCACGCCCACGCGAAAACGTTTCCTTCCGAAGCTGTCAACTTTCGGAAAATATTCCAGTCCGAACTTTTCGGATTATCTCTCAAACAAGTGAGTATTTCAAGATTCTAATTTAATCAATTTCGTAAACTACTATATTTAATAAATAAATTAAAAAAAAACTGATTTTCTTTTATTGACGAAAGGCTATCGGAGAGGACTTGGGGTCCGTTTACGTGGAGGAGTTCGGCACTACTTTGTCGAGGCAAGAAATATTCAAGATTTTAGTACTTGACCCGATGGAAGGTGCTATTGAAGTCGATTGGAGAGATTTTTTCCCATATCTAAAATGGATACCTAACAAAACATTCGAAAAAAGAATCGAGCAAATGCATTTCCGTAGGCAAGCTGTGATGAAAGCTATTATCGAGCAGCAGAAAAAACGTGTCGCCTCTGGCGTGGTACTTTTTTCGATTTTTTTTTCAAGAATCCTCCTAAATACACATATCTAAATTTAATTTTTCATTTAATTGTAACTATGATATTTATAATTAATATTTTTGTGACAGGAACTCAATTGCTATTTCGACTATTTGATGTCCGAAGCAAAAACATTGTCGGAGCAACAACTACTTATGCTTATGTGGGAAGCCATTATCGAAGCGTCGGATACCGTATTAGTCACCTCGGAATGGGCTGTTTACGAACTTTCCAAAGACCAAGAAAAACAGGTTATACAGGAGAACCTCTATAAATTAATACTCGATAAATTAATGACCTCGCTTAAATAATAGTTTCTTCTGGTCCCGACTTGGTCCTAAACCTACTAAATTATTAGTTCGATAATTTAATATTTCGCTAACTTAATAGAATTTTGCTAGTCCCGGCTGTATTAATTTATAGAGATTTAACTGAACTAATGTTCCAATATTCATTTATTTTTGCCATTGTTAAATTAATGTTTATTCCGTTTCGTCGAAACAGAACCGTTTGTTGCAGGAAATTCAAAATGCATGCGGATTCGAAAAACTCACTGAGGAGAAACTGTGCAAGCTTCCGTACTTGGCTGCCGTTTTTCACGAGACGCTAAGAAAGCACAGCCCGGTTCCAATAGTTCCCCTCCGATACGTGCACGAAGATGCACAATTAGGAGGTTATAATATCCCACAAGGCACCGAGGTTTATTGCATTTAGTACCCCTGTGTTATACAGAATTGCTGAAAAAGTCCTCGTGTGTTATTAATATTTGCATCCTCCCCCCTTAATTTATTTTTTTTTTTTTTTTTTTTTTTTTGCAGATAGCGATAAATATATACGGGTGCAATATGGACAAGAACATGTGGGATAGTCCGGAAGAATGGAAGCCCGAGAGGTTTTTGGGTAGAAAAGACGAGACGATGGAGTTGCACAAGACAATGGCGTTTGGCGGTGGAAAGAGAGTGTGTGCGGGCGCTCTACAAGCAATGTTGATTTCGTGTGTTGCGATTGGTCGATTGGTGCAGGAGTTCGAGTGGAGATTGAAAGACGGTGAAGAAGCGAACGTCGATACTTTGGGCCTAACTACTCATAAGCTTCATCCTTTGCTAACCAACATAAAGCCTAGAAACCGAACGGAGTGAATTTAAGGATATTAGTTACCGTAATAAAACATTTCGTCGTCGGTTCTTGATTTGTTAGTGAAGATCGAGAAATATCTCGGTCTAATATGCACTTTTTTCTGAGCCATCTTTTTTTTCCGAGTAGTATGATAAAATTTATGAGGATTATATAGTAAGAATATGTATTGAAAGGTTTATTTCCATTTTGTTTTTGGACTTCATTAGTCATGGTATATCACATTTACCTACTATATCATTTGCATGGGGTGTGTTTTTTTTTCGCCTTGATAATACAAAAATTCGAGGTTCGTCTCGTTAATTTTGGGAGTAGACGATTGTTTTTTTTTTCCTTTTCTTTTTCGACTAATTGGACATTTAGTGAAAATAAACTCGGTTGAGTTCGCAGCTCGAACTTGGGAAAACCGTCGCTCCTCGTTGTATTCGTCACGTCGAGGAGTTGCTCAAAATTTATCTATAATATCTTTAGGAAAAACAAAAAGACATCGTTAATTAACATGTGTTTTAGATCAGTTTCATAATCACATTAAAAAACTTCAAAAATATTAAGTGAACATATGTTCATTAAATAAAGGGTAAATTCCAATTTCTCCTCTTATACTTTGGTTCGGTATCACTTTACCTCCTTCTACACTCGATTGCATCGATTTGCTCCTTGTACTTGAAAAATTGTCTCAATGTGACCCTCGCTGTTAGTTGTCAGACATTTGATATTAACACCGTTTGATCTATATGCTCTAAAATTACAAAAACGCCACTTCTCCCAATTCAAATAATTATTAAAAAAAAAAAGAATAAAAAAACAAAAAATAAAATAACAAAAAAATCACGAGAACGAGAAAACATAGTCCACGAAGCCATCCACAATTTATTTTTTATTTTTTTGATTTTTTTTAATAATTATTTAAACTGGGAGGGGTGGTTTTTTTGTAATTTTCAGAGCTAGATCAAACGATGTAAATGTCAAATGTCTGAAAACTAACGGCGAGGGCCACATTGAGACAATTTTTCAAGTACATGGAGGCATATTGATGTAATCGAAAGTAGAAGGGGTTAAAGTGATATCGAGTGAAAGTATAAGGAGGAAAAGTGAAATTTACCCTTAAATAAAATTATAATGAAGAGATGGAGGTGGTGTCATTTTCTTTCTTGTTTTGAATTGTTTCGTGTGTACTAAGAAAATTAGTAAATATACGAGAAATATAGAAAATCGCTAAAATATTATTTATCGTCATTTGTTTTTCCACTAAGAGCAAATTTAAAAAAAAAATTGTAATTAATGCATAGTTGATTTTTTTTTTTTTTTTTTTTTTTTTACAAATGCATAGTTGAAATTTTAATATTAAGGTAACAAATAATTGTTTTTTCAAGATTAAATTATTTCACAAGAATAAAATATTATTTAAATTGATAAGAAGGGCACAACACAAAAAGGGAAGAGACACTGTAAGACACAGAAAAGTGGCCGTCGGCCGGCAGTGTAAGTATATGTGCACTGGTCCACGTGAACTAACTCGAATCTCCAACTCGTTCTGTTCTATATTTGTATACCAATGGACGAAAACAAAATACAAACATAAATTAATTCATCAATATTCAATACCATGATTGAATTGAATCATCACCCACTCTTTCAAAAAGATATTTAGTTCTCTCAAAGAAAAATATTAATTACCGAAATTCATTGGTGCAAAAAATTGACAATATATTCTTTTCAAACTTAATTTGTTCATTAGATTACCATGTACTATGGTATCGTACCAAAAGTAATGGTATACCAAATATCGGTGTACTGCATTTTTCTGTAAGGTAATAGTATGAAACTTACCATTACCATAAATTACGCTTGGTACACTGTAACGGTAAAAAACTTTGGTATTCCTACCAATGTCACCCCTAGAGATGATGTTAGAAAATGCCTCCCATTTATTTAGTATATATTTCAAATTTTTGTTCGATTGTTGAATTTTAACCCACATTACTGATTATTGAGGTAGCCTTCCATTATTAACTACTAAAATTAACAAAAATAACTGTAACGCCGTCGATGAAACCCAAGATTCCACAAAAGAATACAAACAATAGTCAACTGAAGCAAAAACAAAAAACACCTACAAAAAAGGGTAAATTCCATTTTTCTCCATTATACTTTGGTTCGATATCACTTTACCCCATTCTACTCTCAATTGCATCAATTTGTCCTCCATGTACTTGAAAAATTATCTCAATGTGACCATCGTTGTTAGTTTTCAGCCATTCGACCTTAACAAAATTACAAAAAAAAAAAACACTCTTCCAGTTTAAATAATTATTTAAAAAAATAAAAAAAATAAAAAATAAATTGTGACTGACGTCGTGGACTATGTTTTCTCATTGTCTTGATTTTTTTTATTATTTTATTTGTAATAATTATTTAAATTGGGAGATGTGGTGTTTAGTAATTTCAGAGCTTAGATGAAACAGTGTTAAGGTCAAATGTCTGACAACTAATAATGAGTGTTACATTGAGACAATTTTTCAAGTACAAGGAGATAAATCGATGCAATTTAGAGGGTAAAGTAATACCGAGACAAAGCATAGGGGGAAAGTGGAATTTACCCAAAAAAAACTGAATTTACTCTTCTAATAATATAGTAATAATTTACACTAGAATATTTATCTCAAAATTGCTTATACCACTCCATAACGTAACCTCTTAATATTAACATGACGTAACGTAACTTAAATAAAACATATATATACCTTGCACCATATATGTAGGAGACTAGACAAAGTTTAATACAATATACATAAATATATATACCAGTACTTAAATAAAAAAAAAATGGCTTCTAAAGTGAATATTGTTATAACTCAGTTAGCAATTCTTGTGGTATCAGCAAACCTTCTAGAAGCGTGTTTCCTCACAACCGAGTATAGGGTTCTGATTGATCTAGATCTTTCACTCGGCTTCGTTTATCCGCTGACGATTCATTGTTGGTCAGGAAACGAAGATTTGGGCACACATATGATGTACCTTGCCGATGGGATAACAAAGTACGACTGGAGATTTTGTGAGAATTTCATCGGCAAGTCGGTATACACGTGCGAGTTTTGGTGGAACGGGAAAGATAAAACGTTTCAAGTTTTCAATTCGGATACGTCGGACCACGACTGTGCGGTAGAGAGCACGTGCACTTGGCACGTGAAGAAACATGGCTTCTATTTGAACGGGAATGATCGTCGTAGCTATAAATGGTAGTAATTAATTAAGACACACGTGCATAATTATATGATGATAATATATATAATATATGTATTTCTTGGAATAATTTGAGATTTTCTGTATTGTCTTGTACTTTTTTCATTTCAATAACTTATACTCAAAGACGGATTTTGTACGTTGAAATAGACCTGGTGAAAAACATAAGGCGATTTTACACTATGAATCTATATAAATAATTAGTAACTAACCGCACATATACATAAGTGTGTGTATGTTAATATATATGTAGATTAATGATGCATGATCATCCGACGTATTTAATGAGTGTAGTATCTACAAAACCCACAAAGAAGATGGGTGTGGGTTGAGGTAGGATGGTAAAACCACCACCAATGGAGGTGGATCAATGGAATGTGGGTCCGGGATGGGGAGAAGGGGGGAGGAATCCCTTGACCTGCCAACACACGTGCTGGAAGGCAGCGTGTGATCACTCGCCCCTTTTTTTTTCTTTTTTTTTTGTCAAACGAGTTTCCTTTTATTTTATTTTTATTTGTTGTCCTTCTTTTCTTTTCTCTTGTCTTTTACATGTCATTTTTATATTTATTTTTTCCTTTTCTTTTCAATTTATATTTTATATTATTTTATTATTTTATTTTATTTTATTTACATAGTTACATAATTTAATTTCACATAATTTCAATAAAATCAAACGCTTAATTTGTAAATAAAGACTTTTAATATTTCCATTTCTTTTTCTTTTATTTTTATTTCCTTTTGAATTATATATTTATTCGTAATTAGTTGAAGATTATTTATTTACTTTTATTTAATATTGTATTATTATAAGTAAATTATTATTATTATGATTTTTATTTTCAATAATTAAATAATAATTATTATATCATTATTATTTATTATTATTATGGTGATGTATCACATAATTACAATAAAATCAAATACTTAATTTGTAAATAAAGACTTTTAATATTTTTTTCCATTTATTTTTCTTTTATTTTTTATTTTCTTTTGAATTATATCTTTATTCGTAATTAGTTAAAGATTATTTATTTACTTTTATTTAATATTGTATTAGTATAAGTAAATTATTAACTTTTTTTTTTTGTTTTCAATAATTAAATAATAATTATTATTATTTAATATCATTATTATTTATTATTATTATGGTGATGAGAGTGGGGCTTGAAAAAATGTAAAAATAAACCGAACGATTAGAAAGGATGTAGGTCGGGTGAGGGGGATGGGGATGGGGAGGGGAGGGGAAACCACCCCCTCTCCATTGGATATGCTCTTATTAGATGAAACTTAAAAAAAGTCACTTCGATGCATCACTTATCCCCTCCCATCTCTTTTTAAATCCTTTAATACAATTAACAATAATATGAAAAATACATTTATACGTCCCGTAAGGGATGGCCTAGTGGTTGGAACAAGTGGTTCTGTATCAATTGACTCAGGTTCAAGTCTCCTTGTCAACGGTCGCTAGATTGAGCTTGTCACACATGGTTAGCCTAATGCAATTTACGTCTCTCATATAGTTTGCAAGCTATTATACGAGAGTGTAGATTTACCCAGTGCACATATATGATTGATTGCGGATTGCTTCATTGAAAAAAAACATTTATACCTGTCAATAAATTGTAAAATATATTTGATCATAGTATATACATTGTATAAGAAACATGTTAAATGTTTAACTAAAATTTATTCTTAATATTTTATTTTCTTGAGATTAGAAAGTATTATTCCATACTAAAGTAAAACTATGTTTGCTATTTTTCTCTTTCACATAGGATCTATTTGAATTTTTTTTAAACATACAATGCAGTAATTATTAAGGTCGAGGTTTAGGGTTTGAATTGTACCGTTATATTCGATACCTGAAGGGGGTAAGTGATTGTTCGTTAAGTATTAATCGACTTCAAATAATCTTTTGTCTCAAACAGAAAATAAAATATAGGAAAAATACCAAAAACTTATGAATAAATCTTAGATGCAAACACTCCTAAGAAAAAAAATATCCATTTAAAAAATCCTGATATTAAAATGCTCCTACAAATTTATCATAATTATAAGCTTTTGGTAATTAGTTGATCTTACTTAATGACTAATTACCTCTTATTAAACAAAACTAGCATTTCCCCGTGCATTTCAAAAGTGAAAAATAATGTTTAGTTCAATACATGACACAATTATAACAAAATTTATTAGTGATATCGGTAATAACATCAATATTTTTATACAAATTTAATAATAAAAACTCATTTAGAAAAAAAATCAAAGAAATTGATCATTAAATAAATGAAACAAAGAAGAATTATAATAGACTAAAAAATGGGAGATAAAAACAAGAATAACAATTAAAAAGATATAGATCAACGAATTAGGATTGTGCTAGCCAAGATTTAGTTTGAAAGTAATTAAAAAAAATGATTGCAAAATAAGATATATATATATATATATATATATATATATATATATATATATATTACAAATATGCCATTTGAATTTTTTTAGATTGTCTATTTCTTTTATATATAATGATAAAATTTTATTTATCCCTACATTCTACATTTAGTATCGATACTAGTAAGAAAATACAATTTCACATCCTGCACCGTCCCCTATTTTCCCAATTTGTAACATGATTGGAATTTCTAAAAAAAAAGAAAAAGATTAACCCCACTGGGAAGAGAGGAAAATACAAGTATGTTTTTGTTGCGGACTTTTAGCTAATAAAATTATAGGGGTATTTATGTAAAATGTATATGTGAGGGACTTTTATCAAATAAAAAAAAAAATTAATTGTGTATTTTATGCTAATCTTATATATAAAAGAAAGAAACGCTAGGGCAACCCTAAGAAACCCTAATGTCATATGGGTAATTTTTTTTCAATTTTTATCAAATATTTATCTCCTTAATATTATTTTAAATATTATTTTTTAATTTTATCATATTTGTATCCCCTAAATATTATTTTAAATATTATTTTTTATTTTTATCAGATTTTTGTCTCCTAAATATTATTTTTTATTTTTATCTCCTAAATATTATTATAAATAATATTTTTTTAATTTTATCAAATTTATATCTCCTAAGTCCTAACTATAATTTTAAATATAATTTTCAACTTTTAGCAGATTTTTATCTCCTAAATATTATTTTCGAATTTTATCAAATTTATATCTCCTAAATAATATTTTTAATATTTTTTTCGAGTTTTATCATGTTTTTATTAGTTTTTTATCTCCTAAATATTATTTTCGTTTTTTATCAGATTATTGTCTCCTAAATATTATTTTCGC